ACAACATCTAATCAATAATCATCATCCAATATATTGACAATTATCTATATCAAAATTATCTCATATCAAGATTATCTTATATCTTGAAATATAATCTATTATTTTATTTGGATCACCATGGGCAATCCAATTAAGTTTGGATTGTAAACCTGACCAAATTCCCAACACATTTTAAAAATGCAGATAACTGTTTTGCTCTAAGGTGGGCCTGACCTGTTTAGTCCCGTTTGGGCTCGGGCCGAGCCCGAGACCTTAGGCCAAGGCCTGGGTCATAATTTTGAAGTCTGGCTCGGCCTGTGGCACAACCCATTGATCTGCTTAAGGCCCACTCAAGGTCTGGCCTGAGGCCCAATGCCTTTTTTAGTGGAAATAATAAAATTTTGATAGAAAAAATAAAAAAATTTGTCCAGACCCGCCCAAGTCCGAACCTAGGCCCAGGCTCGTCAGCCCTACCCGAGACTTGACCCGTTGGCTCGCCCAAGACCCGAATATCCCTATGTCTAATTTTCTGGCCTATGGGTTGACTCGAGCCCACCTAAATTTTGGTAGGAGCCCGCAGGGCCCAACATGGACCAGCCTGGGTCAGGCCGGGCCAAATTTACACCCCTACATAGCCAATGTCAAAAGTCAGAGAAAAAATTCATTATAATAGCAAGTGTTATTATATTATTATTGACATGTCAAATATTTAATTAATCATAACGTATCATGTGATAATATATAGTGTTTTAATATTAAAAAATTATATTACGCGCCATTATATCACGGTTTTACTCCAAAAGCCAGCGTAATTTCCCACCACTCAACTTTAATTTAAGATAAGAACAAAGAAATTACACCAAATTAATGATGTCTATCTTGCGTTGAATTCATTACCATTCATAATCTTTTTGATCATATCATCGACTCCATACCTTATTGCACCAATCATTCCGTACCCCTTCATTCCAAGTCATTTTACATTTTTTTTTTTTGTTTTGTTTCTTCTATTCTTTAATTTCACACAATCAATATTATTTTTTATTTCTTAATAAGTGATTTTATAATAAAAAAATGTAAATATACCAAAATATATCTAACTTGAAATGAAGTACAGCAAAACCTATTTTCACACTTAACAACATGAGATTATGAGAAGTTAAGAACAGAGCAACAGAAAGCAGGGTAGTTTAAAGAGCATACAAAATATATATTTTTTGAGTTAATTCTGATGCTAATCTTAATTTTTATTTTATTAATTTATTTTTTTTGTTCAGTGAAGATATTAAAAGCAACTGAATTACTGTACCATTTTTTGCTATTTTTTATTTATTTATAATGAAAATGACCCAATTTTGTAATGTAAAATGGGAATAAGATTGTGATATTTGTAGGCCGCTAACAATTACTGTATGATCAAATCATTCGCAGGACAGCCAGAGACAAAAATTTAGATTCTAATAATAATAATAAAATGCCAGCCAGGTTGATGTAATGTCCATCTAAATCATATCCTTTTCATACTACATATTAATTGGTGATTAACGTATACTTTTCATACTAATAAACAAAATACGTAGTTAACCATAGTATTAATAAACTATTCGAAAGGCTATCACCACCATAAACTCTCTTTTCAAATTATACATATTAATTACATTGATTTTGGTGTACTAGATTCATTTCAGAGATTAGATAGATTTGTTAGCTAGGAATTATATTCTCAAAAATCCTTAAAAAAAATGAATTTGCATTTGATTTTGCCCCGTTTGTTTGGGGTTATAGGGAGGGGATTGGAATTACTAATCCCTTGGTATTACTAATGGGGTGTTTGTTTTGAGAGATGGGGAGGGGACTATTAATCCCTTGGTATTAGTAGTCCCCTTAGAAGGGGGATTGGTAAGGAGGAGGTGGAGATGATATTAGAAAATAGTGAGGGGATTAGAATTTTTTTTTATTTGTTATATATTGGGATTTTTTTGTAAATACAATTTTAATTTTTTATATTTTTTTATTTGTTTTATTATTTTATATAAAAATAATTTATGAATCCCCTCACTATTAATCCCCTCCATTCTATCTCTGAAAACAAACAGGGTATATGTAATTGTTAGAGACAGAGTTAACGAGAGTGTAGAATGAAGTAAATTAATAATGTTGTGTTTGAGAGATAGTATAGAATTAATCCATGCTAATTTGGTTTTTGAGGCATATTACGTATTGTGTCGGCTTATACATGATAAGATTTTGATATTTTAACACAGTTAATTCATTGATATATTGCAATAGTGATAATGATATGTATCTTAATATTATTATTTAAAAGCGTGATTTGAGATGAGGTTATCTATATTTAATTATACTAGTGTGTTTGGTATACGTACACAAATTTTTCTAATTTTGAAGCGGAGATCTTCTCAATTCAAATTTTGAGAAGAAGAAAATTTGCATTGAAATGGCTTTTATTTTGACGGAAAATTGATATACGTACACAAATTTTTCACTTTTATTTTCTTATACCATTAAATAAGACACAGGTATGGATTTCCAAAGTGTTGATTCCATATCTAGAAAAAAAAAAATGTTGAAAACACAACAAATTTATTTATTTAAAATAGCAATATATGACATGTACAAATAAAATGCTTATAGATACTAAAATATTATGTGAAAACATGCAAGTCCATATTGATCTATATCAAGTTAGACGTCAGTGTAAATGTATCAGGGAAGAAAAGCTAGAAACAACAATTTCCCTTTCTTTTTTTTTCCCCCCTTCTAATTTTAAATTTCAGAGCTCTCCCTGTCTCCTAATATATACCTGTTTCCTAATGAATTACACTGATCACTTTTGAGGTTCGGAGAAAACACAAGAAGTTCTATAATTTTGATATAATTACAATGACCTTCTTTTTAATAAGATTAAAGAGACATAACGATATACAATATAAAATGTTCATTTCAATGTAAAAGAGATGATAATATCATTATAATATCATTTATATGACTAATGAATTTCTAATGAAAATGAACCAAGTGTTATATGAATTAAAACCTTAAAAGATCTTAGTATAATTATGCTAAACTTGTGGGGTTTACTGCATGTTCTTTAAATCTCAGAAAATGTCAATACAATTTACAAAAATGATATGGAGCTCTAATGAGGGTGGACCCTACTGTGATGTTATGTTTTGGTCTTGTTTTATTTTTCATTTATTTCTTATTTTTTGCTACATTATTAGAACTCAATTAAAGCTCTAAAATTAAGAGAATATATCATTGTTCTATAATTTATCTTATATTCTATTATATAAAACGTATATCTTATTTAATGTGAACGCTAGGAACCCTTCACATCTAAGAATTGCCACTTTCAATAATTACTGAACTATTTTCCTCAATCATCAAATGTTCAAAATTGTTAAATGATTTTGCCTCATTCATCAAACTGTCTCTCAATTCAATTCCTCCAAAATTATACATATAAATGGGAAAATTGTACTGCTAGTCCTTGTATTTTGACATTTGTATCATTTTGACCCTGTAATTTGAATTGGATCAGTTTTGATCCTAAATTTTTTTATTTTATTTCAAATTGTTTAGGAGACTAGATATATATATTGATAGAGAATTGGTAGTGTGGACTTGTCCAAATCCCATGTATATATTATTGTACAAAGAGAGGTGTGAGACATAATTGTTACATTTGCTTAATAATTGTAAGTTATAAAGTCTTATAGATTGATCATTAATTAGGTTATGCTTGCTTTCATCAATAATATATCTATATGCACTTGATGTTGGATTTTGAGTTTTGAGTTTTGACAAGGGCTAAGAGTTCAAATCATTTTCATACCAGATATGATCAAATTGTTCTTCTTGTTTGTTGGGTTGACTTTAAAATAAAATAAAAAAATTATAATGTATATATATATTTTTATCATTGTTTTTTTTAATGGTAAAGAATCAAATAATTATCAATGAAAATTAATGGACTGAAGGATTGCATATGCAATCTCTGTGACGTCATAAGTAATGAGAAATTGTATATGAATAAGGAGGGAAAAGTATCCGTATTCTCTGTTACGGTGGTGCAGCCACCGGTTACTATAATTGACAAATTCAAATTTGTAACAATATTAATGTCAAGCGCAACGAAACTATATTCTTAATTAAGGTCAAAACATACTTTAAGTAAGGATTTCCATCAGAACATGTGTATTTCATAATTTTAAGTCAAACTTATATTAATATTTTTTTAATTTTCTTAATTAAGGTCAAACAGATTTAGGGCCAATTTGTAGTCCTCCCCACCCCGTGTTCATAAGGAAAAATCGCGTGGGGCAGAGCGGGGGCGATGAAATTACCATTCTGAGGGAAGAGCAGAACAATTGAAGTTATATTATTTATATATTAAAGAATTGAACTAAGAGCAATAGGACTCTGTGGCCCAATGGATAAGGCGCTGGTCTACGGAACCAGAGATTCTGGGTTCGATCCCCAGCAGAGTCGGATATTTTTAATTTTTTATGTAACTTAAATTTGAGTAAAAACTTTTTGATATTTGGTGGACAAATTTGAGTGAAAACAGAGTTGTAAATTTAGAAAATACAAAACCACTTCAAAAAATTTGAATAATTGAATTACTTCGGTATCATTTTTAGTGATTCAAAACGTTTATCTTTTAGTATTTGTATATCGAAAGTCATGCAATTAGATTATATTTATTTTAAAAAAATAAATGATACATAGAGCATTCATTTTTATAAAAACAAATGTAATCTAATTATGTAGTTACTATATGAGCGTTTGGTAAAACTTTTGTGGTCCCTAGCATTGCGCATCCATCCAATTAGTATACTCAAGGAAGCTAGCTAGTCTCTAATTAATAAAATGTGGAGATTAATCTTAGCTAGGAATGATACTTTGATCTCTTCAGATCCACTGGCAGCAAACTCAGAAATTCTATGTAATCAAGTGACATGGCAAACTCTTGGCACTTTCAAATATACTCTTGGCACTTTCAAATATACATATAGCATAGCTCAGTACAAGAAAAGAAAGTAAGTACATATTAGATCAAGCAATTCATACGAACAAACAACTTTTGGTGGGACTGAAGAAAACAGATTGAAACTGAGTTTTTGGGAAAAACAAAATTTCCCCTTTTTTTTTTTTGTTTTTTTTGTTTTTGTTTTTGTTTTTGGACAATTAAGTAGAAAAGAATGAGAAGCCGAGCCAGCAACATAACCTATTAGTGTTTTGGAGGTGGTGGTGGGAGGCTGTATAAGGACTTCAGCTGCCTACTTATAAGTTTGCTGCTCTGTAGAGCCATTTGGAGCTCCAAATCATCAGACCACCATTGTTCCAATCCATGTGCCTCAAGAAACTTTTGCTTCCCCTTTGACAACACAAAAAGCTTAGCCGCCGCATGCCCATTTGTGGGTCCCACATTCTCCTTGTTAGCCCCGTTGTTCTCTCTTGCTCCCGCTTCTGCTTCTGCTTCCGATCCTGCTGGATTGGTATAATAGCAACAAATGTAGTCACTATTGTTCACATACAAATGAGGTACCCATTTATTCAATCCAACAATATTATTAGTCTCATCCACTTCATTTCCACTGGCTTGAGTTTCACTATTTGAAGGGAGCATCGACTTAAACCTCTTCCAAACAAACCCTACCTGTTCTCCTATATTTTTCAGACTCGTTGCTAGTGAAACCGAGGGTGGATTAAACAGATGAGCCTCCACAAATATCCCTTGTTTGGCTAATGCTTTTCCCACTTGGAGAGCAAAACCAGCCCCTAATGAATGGCCTGCAACGCTTACATTGCTGCTTCCATATCTATCAGCAATTGATTTCAATGCCTCCAACGTTGCGTTGAATCTGACTGAACCCTTTAAGCTTTCCCAGGCTAGAAAGCGGAGATCATCCTCTATATCCCTTCTAATCGTTGGGCTTTTGAGTAGTGTTCCTCTGAGCACTAGTACCGCTCTTGGTGCACCACTTGGCCTAATGATTATGAAGTCAGCCATGGCTGCAGATCGATCCCATTCAAGTACTGCACCGAATATTGACCCATCTCTTTCATCAATTAGAGTTTGGGCTAGCTTGTATTTAAAGGGTATCCACCATTTTGGAGCAAGAGCGCTTTCCTCTGTCCTGTTCTCTTGTCTGTCGAGTTCAAGCAAGTAAACCGCTTGTATGAAGCACGCAATTACTGTTCTTTTGTAATTTCCGTCTTTCCTGTATATGTAGTTTAAAGAAAGCAATATCATTGAATGAAACACCACAAGCATTCAAGTAAAACTAATATGATCCATTTACTGTTCTTGGCAACCAAACAGATGAATAAGCTGAGCATATATTATTACATATAGGTGAAGACTAGCTTAGAAATCTTCAAGAAGTGCAACTAGGATCATTCTTGATTGAAAATTTGAGCAAATATAATCCAATAAAGAACTAAACTACAGTGAGAGCACAAGATTTTAGTAGCTACGTTGACCAAAAAAGATCCAAAAGTCACCAAATGGATGATCACAAAAGAGAATTAAATTTTTTCTCCTCTTTTTTTCTTCCTTCTTGCAAGGAAAAAGCTCGAAAGCACATCCCTAGCTTTGTGGTCACCTTGGCTACTAAAAACCAATTTGGACACAGCATCGAAGTTTTGTTATGGTCCAAAAGATCAATTTGATAAGCATTTGGAACATCAATAACTAGTTAGTCAGAAACAGAGCTCTTCACAAAATAAGTAGCCATGTATATTAAATTACAAAGTCAAGGTCACTAGGCTCTCCTAAATCCAACTCACCAAGACATTAAAACTAGTAGTGTGTTTGTTTGTACAGACTGGATAGGGGGTTGTAATCTACCGGACTGTTAGTCTTGGGATATATTGTCCCCGGACTATTTGGTTAGACTGGATTTGTATTCTATGTTTGTTTAGTCATAGAATTAGATACCTAGATTAGACTATTGTATTGAATTTTATGTTTGTTTGGGATATTGTGGAGAAGGATAAATGCTCAAAAGACTATTTTGCCCTTTTGAATTATTTACTAAATAATAGGAATATTAAATCTAAATTACAAATTTTATTTTATTTTTTTACTAGAACTTTTAAAAAATTAAATAAATAGAATATTAATAAAAATTACATAAGTTTATTTTAATTTGTAGTTGAGATTTTTAAATATTAAATAGTAGAGGTCAAAAATGTAATTTCAATACCTAATCTCATAGGATGAGTTATCCATGATTCGTGTCCCACCCTCGTGAGATACAATAGTCCAATAGATTTGGGATTAATAGTCCGGATAAACTATTAATCCTATTCCATGGGCCAATCCTTATAAACAAACACCACCTATGAGATTATAGCTTTTAATCCAATAACATTTAAAATTGAAGTGAAATCTATGTAATTGAGCCATTGCTCAACTTTTGGTGGGACTGAAGAAAACAGATTGAAACTGAGTTTTTGGGAAAAACAAAATTTCCCCTTTTTTTTTTTGTTTTTGTTTTTGGACAATTAAGTAGGAAAGAATGAGAAGCCGAGCCAGCAACATAACCTATTAGTGTTATTGAGGCTGCTTGCCCTTGCCTTGGGGTGTTTGTTTTGGAGGTGGTGGGAGGCTGTATAAGGACTTCAGCTGCCTACTTATAAGTTTGCTGCTCTGTAGAGCCATTTGGAGCTCCAAATCATCAGACCACCATTGTTCCAATCCATGTGCCTCAAGAAACTTTTGCTTCCCCTTTGACAACACAAAAAGCTTAGCCGCCGCATGCCCATTTGTGGGTCCCACATTCTCCTTGTTAGCCCCGTTGTTCTCTCTTGCTCCCGCTTCTGCTTCTGCTTCCGATCCTGCTGGATTGGTATAATAGCAACAAATGTAGTCACTATTGTTCACATACAAATGAGGTACCCATTTATTCAATCCAACAATATTATTAGTCTCATCCACTTCATTTCCACTGGCTTGAGTTTCACTATTTGAAGGGAGCATCGACTTAAACCTCTTCCAAACAAACCCTACCTGTTCTCCTATATTTTTCAGACTCGTTGCTAGTGAAACCGAGGGTGGATTAAACAGATGAGCCTCCACAAATATCCCTTGTTTGGCTAATGCTTTTCCCACTTGGAGAGCAAAACCAGCCCCTAATGAATGGCCTGCAACGCTTACATTGCTGCTTCCATATCTATCAGCAATTGATTTCAATGCCTCCAACGTTGCGTTGAATCTGACTGAACCCTTTAAGCTTTCCCAGGCTAGAAAGCGGAGATCATCCTCTATATCCCTTCTAATCGTTGGGCTTTTGAGTAGTGTTCCTCTGAGCACTAGTACCGCTCTTGGTGCACCACTTGGCCTAATGATTATGAAGTCAGCCATGGCTGCAGATCGATCCCATTCAAGTACTGCACCGAATATTGACCCATCTCTTTCATCAATTAGAGTTTGGGCGAGCTTGTATTTAAAGGGTATCCACCATTTTGGAGCAAGAGCGTTTTCCTCTGTCCTGTTCTCTTGTCTGTCGAGTTCAAGCAAGTAAACCGCTTGTATGAAGCACGCAATTACTGTTCTTTTGTAATTTCCGTCTTTCCTGTAAATGTAGTTTAAAGAAAGCAATATCATTGAATGAAACACCACAAGCATTCAAGTAAAACTAATATGATCCATTTACTGTTCTTGGCAACCAAACAGATGAATAAGCTGAGCATATATTATTACATATATTCTTGATTGAAAAATTGAGCAAATAAAGAATTAAATTTTAGCAGCTACGTTGACCAAAAAAGATCCAAAAGTCACCAAATGGATGATCACAAAAGAGAATTAAATTTTTTCTCCTCTTTTTTTCTTCCTTCTTGCAAGGAAAAAGCTCGAAAGCACATCCCTAGCTTTGTGGTCACCTTGGCTACTAAAAACCAATTTGGACACAGCATCGAAGTTTTGTTATGGTCCAAAAGATCAATTTGATAAGCATTTGGAACATCAATAACTAGTTAGTCAGAAACAGAGCTCTTCACAAAATAAGTAGCCATGTATATTAAATTACAAAGTCAAGGTCACTAGGCTCTCCTAAATCCAACTCACCAAGACATTAAAACTAGTAGTGTGTTTGTTTGTACAGACTCGATAGGGAGATTGTAATCTACCGGACTGTTAGTCCTAAGATATATTGCCTCCGGACTATTTGGTTAGACTGGATTTGTATCTTATGTTTGTTTAGTCATAGGATTAGATACCTAGATTGGACTATTCTATTGAATTTTATGTTTGTTTGGGATATTGTGGAGAAGGATAAATGCTCAAAAGACTATTTTGCCCTTTTGAATTATTTACTAAATAATAGGAATATTAAATCTAAATTACAAATTTTATTTTATTTTTTTACTAGAACTTTTAAAAAATTAAATAAATAGAATATTAATAAAAATTACATAAGTTTATTTTAATTTGTAGTTGAGATTTTTAAATCAACTCTCAGCCAATGAGTCCTCAAACAAACAAATTAACAATGAATTGTTCAGTAAAGAGCAAAAATTGAACAAACCCAATTCACTCACACACATATAGAGAGAGATGAATACAGAGAGAGAGAGAGAGAACTGACCAGCTAGAGTTGATGAGGTCTCTCCAGTTAGGGGAAGCAACATTGCGAGGTCCGGAGACATGGAAAGCATAGGGGTGATGAGCTTTTTCTCTCTCTGCTTCCACGATCACCACCTCCCCTGTTCTCATCTCCTCTGCACTCCGCTTCCCCATCAATCCAACTGCTGCTTCTTACCTGATGATGCTTTCTGGAGAACAAGAGAGAGAGAAAGAGAGAATTTTGAGGAGAGAGAGAGAGAAGGAGATTAGTGGTCTGTATCAGAAGAAGCTTTTTTCCACTTCCTCAGATGGGTATTGGATTCGATGCATTACTACTATGGATGAGACGAGGAATTCAACTTTGATTGGATTCGAATAACATAAAGTTTTGAATAACGCCTGAATTTTGTAAAGGGCCTCTCTCTAACGGTCATATTTCTTTCAGGTTGTCCGTTTGATCTATTTTTACAATATTGACCTTCAATTTTAAACATTGCTGAGCTGAAACGGTTAATTCTTTTGCTAATTTAATAATAATAAGAAGAAGAAGAAGGAAGCATATTATCCTCTCCTTAAATCTTCTCTACTTGGCTCCTTATTTGGTAGGTAATTGGGCTCATTTTTGGGCTAAATTTCGATAATCTGAACTGTTCACATTTTAAGATTTGCCGAGTATATTATATTTGTAACAAATCAGGTCAATCGAATATCGAAAACTATGTGTTCGGATCATCGAACTAAAAATCATTTTATTAAAAAAATAAAACTATTTATTAATTTTTTTTAATAAATAATTTTTAATTCGATGATCCGAACACGTGGTTTTTGATATTCAATTAATTTGATTTTTTACAAGTATAATATACTCGACAAATTCTAAAATGAGAACGGTTTGAATTATCGAAATTAGGCCCAACAGTGGGCCCAATGGCCCACGAAATAAGGAGCTAAGTAAAGAAGATCAAGGAGAGGATCTAGACTCATTACCTTCGGGCTATAATTTGGACTGCCAGATGATGTTTGGGCTGTGAAATTCATCATGAGTTTCGGTTCGATAATTCAAATTGTTAATTTTGTTAGTCACTTCATATATTTTATTTATACAAAAAATTAGATCGATCTGATAATCATTAGACTATTCAACTTATTACGTTTGTCACAACAAAAATAAATAAATAATTTATTTATAAAAACACAATTATCAGTTATTTTTCTTTATAACAAATATTATAGATTAAATAGATTAAAATTATTAAATAAACTTAATTTTTTTTGTATAAATAAAATAGACAAAGTCAATTATTTAACTTGAAAGCCATAAGAGAAGACAATCAAGCCACCAGTTACTAGTACTTCCACCTCATTATTCCAGCCATTATAATATTTTATTTCCTTATTTCCTTTCTTAACAAAATCATACCAATCTAAAAAAGATATAGTAGAAGTATATAGATGAGATACATAACTCATGTACACACATAATACCACTATACGTATACTACTCAAAGACTCATACCACCAAAAGTTTACTAAAATTGAACCCTTTCGACAACAGAATTATGTGAAATAAATAAAGAGCTTATGTCTCCTTCGTGACACTCATGGCCTTTTTCATTGCGTTTGTAATTTTTAAAATCACCTTCTTGAACCATGATAAATAACAATAAAAAATGTTATGAATTTGTCATAGATACAAGACTGAAGGAGAAAGAAGTGATTACGCACTTCTTTTTGCCTTATAGACCTTGATTATGGTAATACCCAATGTCATTTCTTCGCTCATTTCTTTGTATATTTCTCTTTTTGGATCCGTTTGGAAAGATGATTTGTGGCTAAAATAGTCACAAAAGGCAAAATAGGTTATTTTAGCCACAAAAAACAAAACATCATATCCAACTTATAATCATTACACTCTTTTCTCACAAAAAAAAAGTCAAAAAAGTCAAAAAGTCCTTCCCAAACTAAGCTTTTTAGCCCAGGCTAAAAAAATCAAAAAGTTAACCCATTTCCCAAACCAACCCTTTATCTACTATTTTAAGTTGGGTCATGCTTAAGTGTGCAACCCCCTTAAGGTTGCACACCATATGCAACCCAATTGTTAGCCGTTAGATTACAATAATTGATCAAGACCATTGAATTGTTTAATCCTGAAAAAGTTGAAACCGGGGCAACCGGTTAATGCTTGTATTTGCATGATTGCATCCCACTCACTCTCTGTATTTCGTCTCTATCTCTCTCTGTTCTCCTCTCTGTGTAAGGTTGAGTCAGTGTAACCGTTGATTTCCATTACAGGGAGAAGCCCCTGTTGGGTTCGTTCCATTGACGAAGCTCTGTAGGGAACAGTATAACGGGCGATTTCCAACAACAACGTAACTAGAAGGCTGTGTTGGTTCCATTGCTGAAGTGAAGCCCTTCTCTCGAACTAGATATGAGGTATGGAGCTGTGTCCCTCTCTCTGTGTCCCTCTCTGTCTCTCTGGCCCGTTCACTTCAGCTATTTTCCCTCAACTAAACCCCCATCCTAATTTCAACCGCTCTACGCTTCGCTCCAACGGAAACCCCTCCATTGGCAGCTAACCTTTCTCTTTCTGTTTCTCAAGCGAGTGTTTGTGTTTGCACAAACAGGTAACCCGTGTGAAAATGTCATGTTTGTGTTTGTGTGAACAATTTTCGGTCATCAAGTAATTGTTGGTAGTAATGTCATGTGCAGTATGGCCCCAGCGGAAGTTAAAAGGGAAGGTGATGATTATGACATTCCAAATGAAGCAGATGACATCCGTTTGATGAATGAAAGTCGGGCAGAACCTGATCATGGTTGCGAAGCTGGTCCGAGCAATGAAGAAGCAACCAACATGAACGTTGAAGATGGCGCAGCCGATGTGAAAAAAGAAATGGTTGACGATGCTCACCGCAATGACATGGTTGGTGATGTTGAACGTGCCATTCTGGCACAAAAATTTGATTCGGTCGAAGATGGAGAAGATTTCTACAATGCGTATGCTAAAGCCAAGGGATTTAGTATACGAAAATCCAGATTTAACACAAATAAAGAGGGAAAGGTCGTTAGTAGGCTGTGGTTGTGTTCAAGGGAAGGTCAGAGATTACCAAAATACTTGGACCGTGTTGCTGAGAAGAGTAGAGCTCCCAAGGCACTAACAAGAGTAGGTTGCAAAGCCCAATTTCGCATACGGTACGATGCGGATGCTGGTGAAGGGGGAAAGTATGTTGTGACGCACTTCGTCGCAGACCACAACCATGAATTGGCGGAACAACACTGTGTGATGTATCTGAGGTCACATCGCAGTTTAAACAGCGATGACAAAGCTCAAGCAATGACTATGCGCAATGTCGGTGTGAAGACTAGCCAAATCATGGACTATATGGTAAATCAATCCGGGTCTTATGAGAATGTTGGTTTCATCCGCACGGATCTGCACAACCATATTCAAGCCGAACGTAGAGCAGAAGTTGAGGATGGTAATGCGCAGGGTGCGTTGGTTTACCTATGCGCAAAACTTGATGTTAATGCACGTTTTTTTTACAAGTATGATGTGTGTAACGATAACAAGTTACAAAATCTGTTCTGGGCAGATTCGAAATCGCGGGCCGACTACGCAAAGTTTGGTGATGTGTTGATATTTGACTCAACTTACAGAACCAATGCATACAAGAAACCGTTTGTCATGTTGGCTGGTGTGACTAGCCACTTTAGGACCACGATATTTGCATGTGTTTTGCTAGCTAATGAGACAATTGAGACATACACATGGGTTTTGGAAACATTTATGGAGGCGATGGGCAATAAAGCACCTGTGTCCGTACTGACAGATGGGGATAAGTCGATGCGAGAGGCAATCAGAAGAGTATTTCCAGATGCAAGACATCGATTATGTAATTGGCATCTTGGGAAAAATGCTGTTTCAAATGTTCACATAAGTGGCTTTGCACATGCTTTCAAGCAGTGCATGGACATGGAAACGGATGAGACAAAGTTTGAGCATGGTTGGACGACAATGGTCGAAAAATTTGGACTTCAAACCAACAGTTGGGTGTTGGAGACATATGAGAAGCGTCATATGTGGGCTGAGGCATATATGCGTGGACATTTCTTTGCTGGGATGAAGAGCACTCAGCGCTCGGAGTGTATGAATGCTTATTTCAATCCCTTCCTCCAACACAAATTGAAGCTATATGAATTTGTTAGGCACTATGATCGGGCTCTTGCAAGGATAAGGTATAACGAGGCTGGAGATGATGCTGAAACAAATAACACTTTTCCGGTATTGATTACTCCATTGCGAGATATAGAGAGACATGGAGCTGAGCTATTCACCCGAAATATATTTAGAATGTTCCGTGATGAAATCTTAAAAGAGGGGAAGTTGAATGTGAAGGATGTGTTCCCTTTGCCGGATGGTCAGAAATGCTACTATATTCATAAGTACAGAGTGAAGGACAGATCATGGATAGTAACACACAGTCCAATGGATGCTGCAATGAGATGTTCTTGCATGAAGTTTGAGTCGTTGGGGCTACCTTGCTGCCACATGATATGTGTTATGAAAGCTGAAAATTTAACGCAAATTCCCCCAACTTGTGTGCTGCATAGATGGACAAGGGCTGCAAGCAAGGATGGCCAGCAATGGCCTCAACCCTCAATTGATAGCACTACAACACAGACGGCCCGGTATGGGATATTGTGTTCTTCCTACAACGAAATGTGTTTCTATGCCTCGCAATCAACGGAAGGTTTCAAGGATGCTAGGGATGCATGTCTTCCAATGACGACCCGGATGAAGGAGTTATATGAGAGGAATTTGAACGGTGGGAATGGAGACAAAGGGAAACATTCATTCCGTCGACAATTTGGAGTAGAAGATCCTGATGTTGTGAAGACAAAAGGGAACCCAGGACGGGCCTCGTCCAACTGTCGAAGACCAAGAAAATGTGGGAATTGCAAATGCATTGGGCACACAAAGCGAACGTGTCCTAAGGTTCGGTTTAGCCGAACAGTGGGTAATAACTCAGATGCAGATACACCCCACATAACTGACCGTGAGTACAATGCGGAGTCATTGCCCGTTCGCTGCAAAACTGGGTTGGTGGATCCAAGTACACCGCACATTAAGCAACGGCGACTATTTTTTGATGTTTCTCCTGATTCCAAGCAGCCTGTGGGCCAATACGGTAGTGTTGAAGCAGCAGTGTGGAAAAATGATTCGAACACAATTGATGAGGTGAATCAGGTAATTGTATAATTTGTATGATTTACTTATTCCCTTAGCTATTGAAAACACATGGAAATAATGTATGTAGTTTTCATTTTGCACGGATTGCTGTACGTAACGTGTAAATAATTGGTTATGTACAATGCCAGGAAATGGCACAACGTTACTTATGTACAAGGCCACGAGTTGTAAATTTCCCATATTGTTTAGAGTGATGTTGTCATTTGTGTTTGCAGTGACTTGTCATTTTCAAAACTAACTGAAGGTGAGGTGAGATATATATGGGTTGTCTGTGTGTTGTTTTGGGTGGGAAATTGGCTTATGTCTGTATTCCAAGATTCCTATTGCGGGTTGCTTGTTTCTGTTCCATATTTGGTTGGATCTAACTGAAGGGTTTTTTTGCGGTGTGGTTTATCAACTAACGATGTGTTTCGCTTCGTATTGATTTGTTATGACTTGTGTCCGTAAATTAGTATTATATTTCGAGTAAAATACGAATTTTGTCCAAGTGGGTTTGCAAAATTACATACCAGCACATGCATTTTGTATATAATCCAAGTGGCAGTTAATTTTGGGTGTTACTTGGAGAAAGTAACCCAACGAACTCGTTACTTTATCTCCATGCCGATCGGTATATGAATTACGAGTTACGAACAGGAGTTGTGAAATTATTTAATGTTTACTATGGGTTTATTGTTAGTAAAATTATGGTGGGCCTATATGGACAGCAACGAAGCAGTAATTTAAAGTTGACAAGTTCAAGAAGAAAATCAAGCAATTGTGGTATTGGTTCAAATGCCTGAAATGGATGAAGACTTCTTTCGATGAAGTGATGGTAACAAAGTAGAAAGTAACAAAGTAGAAAGTAGAAAGTAAGTTGTTGTGTTGTTGTGTTGTTTGTAACAAAGTAGAAAGTAGAAAGTAAGTTGTTGTGTTGTTGTGTTGTTTGTAACAAAGTAGAAAGTAGAAAGTAAGTTGTTGTGTTGTTGTGTTGTTTGTAACAAAGTAGAAAGTAGAAAGTAAGTTGTTGTGTTGTTGTGTTGTTTGTAACAAAGTAGAAAGTAGAAAGTAAGTTGTTGTGTTGTTGTGTTGTTTGTAACAAAGTAGAAAGTAGAAAGTAAGTTGTTGTGTTGTTGTGTTGTTTGTAACAAAGTAGAAAGTAGAAAGTAAGTTGTTGTGTTGTTGTGTTGTTTGTAACAAAGTAGAAAGTAGAAAGTAAGTTGTTGTGTTGTTGTGTTGTTTGTAACAAAGTAGAAAGTAGAAAGTAAGTTGTTGTGTTGTTGTGTTGTTTGTAACAAAGTAGAAAGTAGAAAGTAAGTTGTTGTGTTGTTGTGTTGTTTGTAACAAAGTAGAAAGTAGAAAGTAAGTTGTTGTGTTGTTGTGTTGTTTGTAACAAAGTAGAAAGTAGAAAGTAAGTTGTTGTGTTGTTGTGTTGTTTGTAACAAAGTAGAAAGTAGAAAGTAAGTTGTTGTGTTGTTGTGTTGTTTGTAACAAAGTAGAAAGTAGAAAGTAAGTTGTTGTGTTGTTGTGTTGTTTGTAACAAAGTAGAAAGTAGAAAGTAAGTTGTTGTGTTGTTGTGTTGTTTGTAACAAAGTAGAAAGTAGAAAGTAAGTTGTTGTGTTGTTGTGTTGTTTGTAACAAAGTAGAAAGTAGAAAGTAAGTTGTTGTGTTGTTGTGTTGTTTGTAACAAAGTAGAAAGTAGAAAGTAAGTTGTTGTGTTGTTGTGTTGTTTGTAACAAAGTAGAAAGTAGAAAGTAAGTTGTTGTGTTGTTGTGTTGTTTGTAACAAAGTAGAAAGTAGAAAGTAAGTTGTTGTGTTGCTGTGTTGTTGTGTTGTTTGTAACAAAGTAGAAAGTAGAAAGTAAGTTGTTGTGTTGCTGTGTTGTTGTGTTGTTTGTAACAAAGTAGAAAGTAGAAAGTAAGTTGTTGTGTTGCTGTGTTGTTGTGTTGTTTGTAACAAAGTAGAAAGTAGAAAGTAAGTTGTTGTGTTGCTGTGTTGTTGTGTTGTTTGTAACAAAGTAGAAAGTAGAAAGTAAGTTGTTGTGTTGCTGTGTTGTTGTGTTGTTTGTAACAAAGTAGAAAGTAGAAAGTAAGTTGTTGTGTTGCTGTGTTGTTGTGTTGTTTGTAACAAAGTAGAAAGTAGAAAGTAAGTTGTTGTGTTGCTGTGTTGTTGTGTTGTTTGTAACAAAGTAGAAAGTAGAAAGTAACAAAGTAGAAAGTAGAAAGTAACAAAGTAGAAAGTAGAAAGTAACAAAGTAGAAAGTAGAAAGTAACAAAGTAGAAAGTAGAAAGTAACAAAGTAGAAAGTAGAAAGTAACAAAGTAGAAAGTAGAAAGTAACAAAGTAGAAAGTAGAAAGTAACAAAGTAGAAAGTAGAAAGTAACAAAGTAGAAAGTAGAAAGTAACAAAGTAGAAAGTAGAAAGTAACAAAGTAGAAAGTAGAAAGTAGAAAGTAAGTTGTTGTGTTGCTGTGTTGTTGTGTTGTTTGTAACAAAGTAGAAAGTAGAAAGTAACAAAGTAGAAAGTAGAAAGTAACAAAGTAGAAAGTAGAAAGTAACAAAGTAGAAAGTAGAAAGTAACAAAGTAGAAAGTAGAAAGTAACAAAGTAGAAAGTAGAAAGTAACAAAGTAGAAAGTAGAAAGTAACAAAGTAGAAAGTAGAAAGTAACAAAGTAGAAAGTAGAAAGTAACAAAGTAGAAAGTAGAAAGTAACAAAGTAGAAAGTAGAAAGTAACAAAGTAGAAAGTAGAAAGTAGAAAGTAAGTTGTTGTGTTGCTGTGTTGTTGTGTTGTTTGTAACAAAGTAGAAAGTAGAAAGTAACAAAGTAGAAAGTAGAAAGTAACAAAGTAGAAAGTAGAAAGTAACAAAGTAGAAAGTAGAAAGTAACAAAGTAGAAAGTAGAAAGTAACAAAGTAGAAAGTAGAAAGTAACAAAGTAGAAAGTAGAAAGTAACAAAGTAGAAAGTAGAAAGTAACAAAGTAGAAAGTAGAAAGTAACAAAGTAGAAAGTAGAAAGTAACAAAGTAGAAAGTAGAAAGTAACAAAGTAGAAAGTAGAAAGTAGAAAGTAAGTTGTTGTGTTGCTGTGTTGTTGTGTTGTTTGTAACAAAGTAGAAAGTAGAAAGTAACAAAGTAGAAAGTAGAAAGTAACAAAGTAGAAAGTAGAAAGTAACAAAGTAGAAAGTAGAAAGTAACAAAGTAGAAAGTAGAAAGTAACAAAGTAGAAAGTAGAAAGTAACAAAGTAGAAAGTAGAAAGTAACAAAGTAGAAAGTAGAAAGTAACAAAGTAGAAAGTAGAAAGTAACAAAGTAGAAAGTAGAAAGTAACAAAGTAGAAAGTAGAAAGTAACAAAGTAGAAAGTAGAAAGTAGAAAGTAAGTTGTTGTGTTGCTGTGTTGTTGTGTTGTTTGTAACAAAGTAGAAAGTAGAAAGTAACAAAGTAGAAAGTAGAAAGTAACAAAGTAGAAAGTAGAAAGTAACAAAGTAGAAAGTAGAAAGTAACAAAGTAGAAAGTAGAAAGTAACAAAGTAGAAAGTAGAAAGTAACAAAGTAGAAAGTAGAAAGTAACAAAGTAGAAAGTAGAAAGTAACAAAGTAGAAAGTAGAAAGTAACAAAGTAGAAAGTAGAAAGTAACAAAGTAGAAAGTAGAAAGTAACAAAGTAGAAAGTAGAAAGTAGAAAGTAAGTTGTTGTGTTGCTGTGTTGTTGTGTTGTTTGTAACAAAGTAGAAAGTAGAAAGTAACAAAGTAGAAAGTAGAAAGTAACAAAGTAGAAAGTAGAAAGTAACAAAGTAGAAAGTAGAAAGTAACAAAGTAGAAAGTAGAAAGTAACAAAGTAGAAAGTAGAAAGTAACAAAGTAGAAAGTAGAAAGTAACAAAGTAGAAAGTAGAAAGTAACAAAGTAGAAAGTAGAAAGTAACAAAGTAGAAAGTAGAAAGTAACAAAGTAGAAAGTAGAAAGTAACAAAGTAGAAAGTAGAAAGTAGAAAGTAAGTTGTTGTGTTGCTGTGTTGTTGTGTTGTTTGTAACAAAGTAGAAAGTAGAAAGTAACAAAGTAGAAAGTAGAAAGTAACAAAGTAGAAAGTAGAAAGTAACAAAGTAGAAAGTAGAAAGTAACAAAGTAGAAAGTAGAAAGTAACAAAGTAGAAAGTAGAAAGTAACAAAGTAGAAAGTAGAAAGTAACAAAGTAGAAAGTAGAAAGTAACAAAGTAGAAAGTAGAAAGTAACAAAGTAGAAAGTAGAAAGTAACAAAGTAGAAAGTAGAAAGTAACAAAGTAGAAAGTAGAAAGTAGAAAGTAAGTTGTTGTGTTGCTGTGTTGTTGTGTTGTTTGTAACAAAGTAGAAAGTAGAAAGTAACAAAGTAGAAAGTAGAAAGTAACAAAGTAGAAAGTAGAAAGTAACAAAGTAGAAAGTAGAAAGTAACAAAGTAGAAAGTAGAAAGTAACAAAGTAGAAAGTAGAAAGTAACAAAGTAGAAAGTAGAAAGTAACAAAGTAGAAAGTAGAAAGTAACAAAGTAGAAAGTAGAAAGTAACAAAGTAGAAAGTAGAAAGTAACAAAGTAGAAAGTAGAAAGTAACAAAGTAGAAAGTAGAAAGTAGAAAGTAAGTTGTTGTGTTGCTGTGTTGTTGTGTTGTTTGTAACAAAGTAGAAAGTAGAAAGTAACAAAGTAGAAAGTAGAAAGTAACAAAGTAGAAAGTAGAAAGTAACAAAGTAGAAAGTAGAAAGTAACAAAGTAGAAAGTAGAAAGTAACAAAGTAGAAAGTAGAAAGTAACAAAGTAGAAAGTAGAAAGTAACAAAGTAGAAAGTAGAAAGTAACAAAGTAGAAAGTAGAAAGTAACAAAGTAGAAAGTAGAAAGTAACAAAGTAGAAAGTAGAAAGTAACAAAGTAGAAAGTAGAAAGTAGAAAGTAAGTTGTTGTGTTGCTGTGTTGTTGTGTTGTTTGTAACAAAGTAGAAAGTAGAAAGTAACAAAGTAGAAAGTAGAAAGTAACAAAGTAGAAAGTAGAAAGTAACAAAGTAGAAAGTAGAAAGTAACAAAGTAGAAAGTAGAAAGTAACAAAGTAGAAAGTAGAAAGTAACAAAGTAGAAAGTAGAAAGTAACAAAGTAGAAAGTAGAAAGTAACAAAGTAGAAAGTAGAAAGTAACAAAGTAGAAAGTAGAAAGTAACAAAGTAGAAAGTAGAAAGTAACAAAGTAGAAAGTAGAAAGTAGAAAGTAAGTTGTTGTGTTGCTGTGTTGTTGTGTTGTTTGTAACAAAGTAGAAAGTAGAAAGTAACAAAGTAGAAAGTAGAAAGTAACAAAGTAGAAAGTAGAAAGTAACAAAGTAGAAAGTAGAAAGTAACAAAGTAGAAAGTAGAAAGTAACAAAGTAGAAAGTAGAAAGTAACAAAGTAGAAAGTAGAAAGTAACAAAGTAGAAAGTAGAAAGTAACAAAGTAGAAAGTAGAAAGTAACAAAGTAGAAAGTAGAAAGTAACAAAGTAGAAAGTAGAAAGTAACAAAGTAGAAAGTAGAAAGTAGAAAGTAAGTTGTTGTGTTGCTGTGTTGTTGTGTTGTTTGTAACAAAGTAGAAAGTAGAAAGTAACAAAGTAGAAAGTAGAAAGTAACAAAGTAGAAAGTAGAAAGTAACAAAGTAGAAAGTAGAAAGTAACAAAGTAGAAAGTAGAAAGTAACAAAGTAGAAAGTAGAAAGTAACAAAGTAGAAAGTAGAAAGTAACAAAGTAGAAAGTAGAAAGTAACAAAGTAGAAAGTAGAAAGTAACAAAGTAGAAAGTAGAAAGTAACAAAGTAGAAAGTAGAAAGTAACAAAGTAGAAA